ACACACACACACACACACAAACAGCCACTCACACGTACACATTAACTCTTTAGGACTCACATACTCAGAAACACGCACTCTCAGGACTCACATACTCAGAAACACGCACCCTCAGAGCAGTGATTTGAAAAATACTCAAGAGATACAGATCTGTGCAGGGCGTAGCTGGGCCCAAGCACCTCCCAGGGAGTGGGACTGGCTGGCCAGGTGTGCAGGACAGGCCCACACTTGCACACACACGACCCACCTGGCTGGACCTCAGGAGTCCTTGGGCCCAGGACGCAGCAGGCCTCTGAGGGTGAGCTGCCAGGCAGGTGAGAGGAGGGCTTGGGCCTGGGAGGGCAGGAGTCCCTGTTGGGCTGGCTGCTGTCTCTGGGCTGGGTTCTCTAGGGTGCATTGCTCCCTCTTTTTTGTGCTCTCAGAAATGTCAGTCTTGGGCGGGGGAGATAGCTCAGAGGCATAAGCGCCTTCCTGGCAAGTGCAAGGTCTTAAGTTCAATCCCTGATCCCCCCCCCCCCCCCCGCCAAAAAAAAAGAATTTACAGTCTTGCTTCACCTTCTCCACTTCTTCTGTTTTTTCCCTGCCTTTTCCTTGCTTCCCTCTTCTTCCTTCTCAACTGGTCTCTCCAGGTCTCTATCCCCCTGTATGCCTCCCGCTCCCCCAAGCCATCAGGAGCCCACACGGCCTGTTTTCCCTCCCTTTCCTAGACTCTGCCCTGTAGACTACTCTTCTGTGGGGTCTCTTCCCTTCAGGGCCCTGTGCTGCCTCCTCACTTCTGGTTTCTGCTCCTGGCTGCCTCTGACCAGTCTCTTGGGGCAGCTGGGGTAGGCTTATCTTACTGTCAGGTATCAGTTGCTGTGGTTCTGAACGGCCTGAGGCCCAGTCCAGGGTGCCAGATGTGCACAGGCCCGGCACTTGGTCGGAGCAGTTCCTTCCCGTCCTGTCCAGGCTGGCCTGTCCTCCCCCCAGTTTCTATGGATCTCTAAAGAATTCAGGGATCCTTGGTTACTGGGCTGGACAGTGGCCACTAACCTGTGCTAGGCACCCAGGATGGGGGAGCAGCACTGTGGTGTGTGAGCTCCCTTCTGGAGCCAGCCCTGGCCAGAGCTGCCTCCTGCCCACTGCCGCCGGTGTGGAGGAGCTCCCAGGGGACCGTGCAAGCTTAGAGGAGGGAGCAGTGGGTGGGTTTCCTGGACAAGAAGGTGGAGTTGTCCGGAGCACAAGGGAGTTCATGATATCCAGTCATTTAATGCCCAAAACAATGGATGCTTAGCAAGTAGTTCTATTTTGGTGTTGTGGGGTTTTTTTGAGACAAGGTCCTGCTATGTAGTTCAAGATGGCCTTGAGCTCACTGTGTAGCCCAGGCTGGTCTTGAAATCATGGCAACTCTCCTGCCTGAGCCTACTGAGTTCTCGGAGTACAGCTGTCAGCCATATCCAGCTAGCAAGTGGTTCTCGTCCTGCCAAAACTTCTGGTGTCCTGGCTGCAAGGTACAAGTCAGTAGTGTCCGTAACAGTGTAGGTTAGTGCAGTTAGGATGCTGTGTGTAGAGAGGCTTCCCGTGATCTGGATGCCAGCTGAGTTGTTCAGGGCACCCTGGCTAGCGCCCCTCTGTGCTGGGGGACTTGGAGGTCTCAAGAGACTCGGCCTTTTGTGTTCATTCTAGCAAGTGAGACTCCAGAAAGGGCTTTCCATGCTGCAGCTGGGCAGGAGCAAGCAGGGCGGAACCAGGGTTGCAGTTTATGGAGGAGGAGAAAGGGAAGAAGCATGGAGGAAACAGCAGGCGCAGGACTGGGCCTGGCTGCTGGGGAGCAGGCCGGGGCACGAACGAGGAAGTGGGCAGCTGGGAAAGTTTGACCCTGTGAAAAGGGTATGGAGGAGACAGTTGTTCCAGGGTCACTGGGCCAGCCTCACCTCTGAGCCGTGCAGGGGGGGTCCGGGAGCTGGGAGGCCCCAAAGCATCCCGAAGCATGAGGGGAGGCCCAGAGTAGTGGTGGGGGATATGTGCCTTATGCCCTTTGAAGGCGAAGTTGGTGAGTGGCCAGGCAGGGGATGGTGTTCTAGGTGAAGGGAACAGCTATAAACACAGTCCTGATGTTTGCATCTGTAGGATGCGAGGGCTGGAATGGGAGTAGGGGAGCCCAGGGCCAACCTCAGAGGCGCCGCTGCCCTGCCCCACAGCCTCGCTTCCCTCCAGGTGAGAACCTGTTCCCTGCTGGAGGCAGGGGAGAAAGAAAGGTCCCAGGGAGACCTGGAAGAGGCGGCTGGGGTGCAGCTTTCTGGCCAGCCTGTGTGACTGAGCCCCCTTCAGCCACAAGTGGGGTGCAAAAGCTGTGCTGGTGACATGTGCCAGTGCCTTACCCTTACTGAATTATCAGTAAGCCTGGAGGCAGGTCAGAGGGGAAACTGAAGCTCAGGCGAAGTGAATAATCCAACAACTCAAGGTCACTAACAGATGGTGGTTGAGCTGGGACTCCCTGTGGGCCTGCCTGACTCTGAAAGCTTTGTCGGTCGGTCTGTGTGTCTGTCTGTCTGTCTGTCTGTCTGTCTGTCTGTCTCTCTCTCTCTCTCTCTCTCTCTCTCTCTCTCTCTCTCTCTCTCCTCTCTGTAACAGTGCCTCTTTCAACTCAGAAATGTTTCTGGTTATACACTTAATGACACCCATCTCTTTTTCATATTTTGTTTTGTTTTTGAGAGGGTCTTGCTGTGTAGCTTGGGCTGGCCTTGAACTAGCAGCAATCCTTCTGCCTCAGCCTCCAGAGTGCTGGGATTACAGGCGTGCACCCCCATGCCTGGCCCTCTCACCCATTTTGATTTGGGACCCTCATATGTCCTCCAGCCCCACATATAAGGTCTGCTGGGTATGTTGCCTAACCTAGCAAGGGGGGCTTCTCAGGCTGTGGGCTCGGGCCCTGTGTGCCCAGTCCTGCCATGGGCATCACAGGGAAGGTAGATGGGCTCTTGTATCTCTTTCCAGAAGAGAAAGGGCTCATTGCCTCTTGGTCTTCTGGCTAAGATCACGTATGGGGGGAAAGGGCGGAGGGAGCGGGTGGATGGGTGTGAGAGGGCAGGAGGAGGGGGAGACAAGCACGGCAAGGCTTGAGTGGGAGCTTTGCACTCTTGCTCAGGGATGGCACAGGCCAGGGGCAGCATCTGCTGGGCCTCATCTGGACTACGCTGGAGCTGGCGCTGCTCCTAGAGGCAAGCACTGAGGACTGCAGGGGGGCACCCAAAGGCCCTGTTCTTGGTAGGGGGACACTGCCCCTTCCCTTGGGGTTTTCCCACATGATGTACCTTCCGGACACCACTTCTCCTTTCCTGGGCCGAGCCCTGACTCAGCAGGACCCTGATTTCTCTGCCGTGGGCAGGCAAGGAGCCAGGAGTAGCCTGGAGGCTCCCTGGAAGAGGCGGCCAGAGTAGGGGCTGGAGGTTTACAGAGCCTCCCTTCTTCCCCTCTCAGGGGACGCTTCCCGTGGTCACAGTGGTGGCCGTCAAAGTGGTGATCTTGTTCTCCCTGGACAGAATGTCAGCTCCAGCACTGGCATAGACCCTGATTCTGGGTGGCCAGAGCTGTGGTACTGGACCAACCAGGGTTCAAATCCCAGCTATGGGACCAAGGATAGATTAAGGATAGATTGCTTAGCATTTCTGTGACTCAGTTTTCTCATCTGTAAAATGGGACAATGGCCTTGCCTTATAGAGCCCTTATAATGAGTAAGTGAGTAAGTCCGTACAGAGCACTTAGAGATCATGTAGGGATGTACATATATAGACACACACAGTTAATAAGAATGAATTAATCCAGGAATGTATCATCATTATTATTATTTTTTAAAATTTTATTTGTGTGTGTGTGTGTGTGTGTGTGTGTGTGTGTGTGTGTGTGGCTAGCTCAGCCCACCAGGGGGCGGGGCTGGCTGGCATGTGGTGCTGGGGGATTGAACTGCGGTCCCTGTGCTTTGCTAAGCTTGTTCTAAGTAGGTGCTTTAGACCACTGAGCCATCTCACCAGCCCTATTATTATTATTATTATGTTTGGTACAGGGTCTCACTATGAAGCTTGGACTCATAGTAATCTTCCTGTTTTTAGCCTCTCGAGCACTGAGATTACAGGCATGTGCCACCACACCTGGTCTTGGTGACTGGCTCAGCATGCCTGTGGGCGGAGCCAGGAATTTACTTGTATAAGCCCCTGCTAGGGATTGAAGAGTGGAGGAGGTTGGGAACCTGCCAGTGGGGTGACAGACCCCTTGCCCATGGTTGGGGAAGTGATGGCCCAAGTGCCTGAGGAAGTTGGGCTGATGCTGCCTGGACCCCAGGGATGAAGGGCACAGGGGCAGTCTGGCTCTGTTGCCGCTGTCTTCCCTTCAGCCCCAGCCCAGACCTGGGGGAGTGTTGAGGGCCAGGCCCACTCAGCCCTGCATGGCATTGGAGGGAGGGAGCCCGTCCACCTGCTGTGACCCCAGACCATGGGCCAGGCCTCCATGGCCACTGTCTCTTGGGCCCTGGGAGACAGCAGTGTGATCGCTGGGTTTGCCTGCCTGGAAGTCTCCCAGGACGTCACCTCAGCAGGGCCAGCCCCTCTGGCCACACTCCAGATGGTGCACTTACCCAGGCAGTCATCATTCGCTCTTTCCTTTGCTTCCCTCCAACCCTAATGGCCAGTTGGACACCTACCCACAGATCAGCCTACCTGCCCATCCACTCGTCTGTCCAGTACGCTCTTGCTGTGGACACAGCCAGGCCCTTCCCTGGCCTGCGATAGCATGTCAAATGCTGCCCCTGCCCTAAAAGCCTGCAGGATCCAGTAGGGAGACAGCCTGATGCTGTGCCCACCGGGAGATCTTAGGTCCAGCTAAACAAGCTGTCAAGAGCACCATGGGGCCCTTGGCATCAGATTTCTAAGGGATGGAAGGGCAGAGAGCTCCTTGTCACCAGGGCAACAGAATGTCCTCCCCTGCGTAGTGATATGCAAGAGTCCACGCAGCTGCGTAGGAGCCAGTCTCCATGGCCCTCCAGGTGACAGCTCAGGGGCAAGGGACTAAGGATCAGAGTGGACAGGTGACTCACGGGCCCATTCGGGCTTAAAAAGCTCTTGCCCCAGGTGGGCCAGTGTCTTCCAGCAGCCCTTCAAGTGTGGCTTCAGGTGTCTGCCTGGAATGTGCCTGGTTATGACCCC